TCTGGTTATAGTTATGGTGTGGGTTCTAGTTCTGATTCTAGTTCTGGTTCTAGTTCTGGTTCTAGTTCTGCTTTGGGTTCTGGTTTTGGTTTTAGTTTGGGTTCTGATTCTCGCTCTAGTTCTGGTTCTGTTTTGGGTTCTAGTCCTGGATTGGGTTCTGGTTCTAGTTTTGGTTTGGGTCCTGGTTCTAGTTCTGGTTCGGGTTCTGGTCCTACAGTAGTTATGGTTTGGGTTCTAGTTCTGGTTCTAGTTCTAGTTATGATTCTAGTTCTGGTTTAGGTTCTGGTTTTAGGTTCTGGTTCTAGCTCTAGTTCTGGTTCTAGTTCTGATTCTGGTTTGGGTTCTGGTTCTAGTCCTGGTTCTGGTTTGGGTTCTAGTTTGAGTTCTGGTTCTAGTACTGGTTTGGGTTGTGGTTCTGGTTTGGGTTCTGGTTCTAGTTCTGGTTTGGGTTCTGGTTCTAGTTGTGGTTCTGGTTTGGGTTCTGGTTTAGGTTCTAACTCTGGTTCTGGTTTGGGTGCTAGTTCTAGTCCTGGTTTGGGTTCTGGTTCTAGTTCTGGTTTGCATTCTGGTTTGGGAACTGGTTTTAGGTTCTGGCTCTAGCTCTAGTTCTGGTTCTAGTTCTAATTCTGGTTGTGGTTTGGGCTCTGGTTCTGGTTTGGGTTCTGGTTCTAGTTCTACATCTGGTTCTGGTTTGGGTTCTGTTTCGGGTTCTAGTTCTAGTTTGTGTTCTGGTTCTTGTTCTGGGTTCTGGTTTTGGTTTTAGGTTTTGGTTCTAGCACTAGTTCTGGTTCTGGTTTGGGTTCTGGTTCTATTCCTGGTTCTGGTTTGGGTTCTAGTTCGTGTTCTGGTTCTAGTTCTGGTTTGGGTTCTGGTTCTAGTTCTAGTTCTGGTCCTGGTTTGGGTTCTGATTGTAGTTCTAGTTCTTGTTTGGGTTCTGGTTCTGGGTTCTGGTTCTAGTTCTAGTCCTGGTTTGGGTTCTGGTTCTAGATCTGGTTCTTGGTTCTGTTTCTAGTTCTTGTTTGGGTTCGGGTTCTGGTTCTAGTTCTTATTTGGGTTCTGGTTAAGGGTTCTGGTTCTAGTTCTAATCCTGGTTTGGGTTCTGGTTCTAGTTCTTGTTTGGGTTCTGGTTCAGGTTCTGGTTCTTGTTCTGGGTTCTGGTTCTTACCGTAGACGCCCTGGCACTGCGCGCCCTGCAGGAAGCTGCCGAACAGCCACAGGAGTCCAAACAGCAGACCCATCCTCTCATCCTCTTCGGACCCCATTCCCCCCACCCCCCCAGGTTGTCGGTTCGGTTCCCCCACGCTGCTGCCGCCTCTGCCTCCTCCTTCCCACAGCGGCTCTGTCCGCGCGGGTTCCGGTCCAGTGACCGGCCGTCAACCACAGATCCCGAATGTTTGTTTGATCCTCCCAGTATCACCAGTAAGATGCTGTCCTTCCACTTCCAGCGCCCCGGTGCCGGTGTGCTTCAGATGGACTCGGAGGAATCGGTTTAGTCCATCCTGCACCGGATGTGGGCTGATGACGTCCTTAGATGGATCTCCTTGCTCGTGACATTGGAAGAAATGATGAGAGAAGAACCGCGGTGGTCCAGTTCTGGAGCTCCGGGAGGCTCGGTTCTGCTTCACCGGCTCGGCGGAGGCTCAGCATCCACTGAGCGGCTCCAGTGGCTGTTCGCGGCCCTGCAGGCCGAGCAGGGAGCAGGTGAAGCCGGTTAAGAGAGCCCGGAAAGCCGGGACCGTCAGCGAGGATGTCCAGGAGGCAGCGGGGAGGGGAGGGGAGGGGGGAGATCACTGGGAGGCTGCCAGTCATTAACAGACGTCACTGGGCGCAGGAGGGGAGGGGGGGCATTTAAAATACTCAGCTGGGAGCAGACGCAGCTTCCGGAGAATCCTTTCAAAATAAATTCTGTGAACACAAAATATAAGATCAGCAGTTAATCTGTCCGATAGCAAGGGAGTGAAACCCGCGAAGATACTGAGACGTTACCCACCCTACGTGGTAGTGACGTCATTGTCCTGTTTTTAAACAGCAGGCTGCATAAAACCACAAAATCACAGCTGTTCTGTTAGTGTACTGAAAAAGTGATTCTCCTGGAACCCAGCAGGCTGAACTGACTGACTCCACCTGTTCTGATCCAGGTGAACCATTTAACACTGTAAATAACAGGTGAGAGGCGCTGGCAGGTGGAGGTGGCTGAATGATCTGTTGATCTCAACTGATGACCAAACAAAGCAACATGGTGAAATTAACAATTTATTGATGAGGAGAATGTAATGTAATGCAAACAATAAAGTAAAAAAAAAAAGCCAGCTGAATGGAAGATGATGATACTAAAATCTAACACAGAACCCAAGACCTATCCAATAATACAGCAACCCAGACAAATAAACTAGAAAACAGCTGCTAAATACACAGCAGACAGCAAAAACAATATCACTGTCAAGACTCAGAACGTTGGACAAAGAATTCAGGCAGACAGACCGAAGGGAGTCATGAAAACCTTTATTAAATTTTGCATCTTGTCAGCTTAGACAGGATGGCTGGAATCTCTGTAGAGCAGGAAACACAGGTTAGTGACGGACGGTGTCGATGAGTAAGCAGAAGTCCAGGTCAGGAGATCAGAGATAAGAAGAGGTACCAAAGGGAAATCCAAGCTGGGATTGGGAGACAGATCCAAGGTCATTAGCAGGCAGAATCCAACGGAAGTCTGTAGACAGGTCAGACAAACAGATCAGAAATGAAACTAGTCAGGATCAGAATAAAAACACTGGGTACACCAGAGAACTCTCACCTATGGCTCAAATAATCTGGCACTGATGGCTGGGACCAAGCAGTTTAAATAGGAACTAGAACAGGTTAATCTGATTAGTAGCATCCAGTAAAAGTGAACCTCACCAGCTTGGGATCTATTTCCAAACCTTTTGTGTTTCTTCTGGAACATCTTCTTGTTCTGACACTTGCTTTCTACATCTGTGGATGAAATCAGGACTGATTGAGGCTCTGAAGACATTTTATTCTTGTTTAAGCAACAATGGTGCCTTCATGAAACAAGCAGCAGATCACATCTGCTCCCAGGGAAAATAAGCAGACCTCTTTTTTTGTTTTAAAATTTATTTTAGTTAATCACAACAGAAAATAAAAGCAAATAATTGTTTTAAATTTGGCTCTTCCCTTTTTGCCACAGAAAAAATGCTTCATGAATTTGTAATTTAAAGCTAATATCAAATAGCCATTATTTCTTTATATAAATTTTATTATGTTGTCCTGTGTTTTTATATGTCTTACTGTACTGCTGCCTCTTGGCCAGGTCTCCCTCGAAATATAGATTATATCTCAAGGGACTTCCTGGTAAAATAAAGGTTAAATAAATAAATAAATAAAAATATATCTTTCTAAAAGGAAAATAAAATAACTAAAAGGAAATCAGACTATTTGTGTTTATAGATTTTAGGTTTTTCTTGTTAGGATTTTTAATACTTCCTATAGTTAATATGTTTTATGTGTGTACAGAAGAGGATTAGGGCCACTGGAAAAAAAAATAAAGTTAACTGACTTTTAAATTTCTATTTCAATTTAACATGGGGAAAAAAGTCAGAATTCTGACTTTTTTCTCAGAATTCTGACTTTAATCTCAGAATTTTGGATCTTACAGTTTTTCTCAAATGCTAAAACACATTTTACAAACGTTTCGTCCATGTTCTTCAATGTCTAAACACAACACCCTTTTCTAAAGCTACATAAACACAACCACATCTTTTCCCTTCAAAACTCAAACTTTCACACCAAAAGAGCAGCTCGAAGCTTTCAAAAATGTAAACACTATACACATCATTACACACTACAGCAAAACAA